GCCCCTGGGTGAGGGGCTCTAATGTGCACATTGTGAGGGTGTATAACATGCCCCTGGGTGAGGGGCTCTTCTCCAAATTGCCCTGGGAGTGAGAACAATGTAACCTAAAAATTGTACCGTCATATTAATTTGAATAAAGTTAAAAACAAATAAGAAAAAAAATAAAATCAGAAAGTTAACATTGATACATTACTACCTTTTAATCCTTGGACGCCACTGTAGTTTCACTGAATATTCCCATCTGGCCCTTTATAACTAAAAGATCCCTTCCGACATGCTCCTCCACTCTGGGACAGCTCCTTAGTCTCCTCTTGATCTTCATGACCTTGACACTTTTGAAGACGTCAGGCAAGTTATTTTGCAGAATGTGCCTCAATTTCTGTTTGAAGTTTCTTCACAATCAGATAGGGGTTGTATATCTCTGTGGAAATACTCTTGAAGAGATGTGCTCTCCTGAGAACACTTGCAAGCATCAGTGGGCTGGTGACCTAACCAGGGCTCTTCTGTTTCATTCTTAGGTGGAATTTAGGCAAAACTTACAATATTGTTTTGGGATCTGGACAAGTCGTGCTGGGAATGGACATGGGTCTCAGAGAGATGTGCGTCGGAGAGAAACGGACAGTGATCATCCCGCCTCACCTTGGCTATGGGGAGGCTGGTGTGGGTAAGTGACAGTTTGCAAGGGTGTTGGGGCACATCTGAATTTTATGCTTTTTGTGGCTGCCATAGTTGGAACCATGATATGCTACTTCCATTTAAAACCCAAAGAGTCTGTGCTTTTTTTTTTTTTTAAAGTATTTAGCATTTTTGTTTAAAGACTTCCGTGAGCCATGTTAATGCCCCATTACCCTCTTAAGAAAGAACAGATTTCAGTGAAGTCAACCTTGGATCTCCAGACCCAGGTCTTGGAGTTGTCCTGGGTGGAGCTTTCTAGATTTCTTTGGGATCAGGCTGAACCCTTCCTCCTGGAACTGTTCCCTAGGACAAGTGGAATACCTAGGCCAGGGGTCCCTAACATTTTTTGACACTGGGGACTAGTTTCATGAAGGACAATTTTTCCATGGATTCAGGGGATGGGGGATCTGACAGGAGGTGGAGCTCAGGTGAGGATGTGAGTGATGGGGAACAGCTGTAAATACAGATGAAGCTGGGCTCCACTTGCTCACCTGCGGCCACAGACCAGTACCAGTCTGAGGCTTGAGCGGGCAGCCAGGGACCACAGCTGTAGGCCATTGCTTCTCACTTCTCTTGAGTCTCTACATGGGCCAAGGCAGTTTCCTGCTGGAAGAGATTAGCTCCCAGTTCTGGAAAGGCTGGCTTTACCTAATCCTCATAGTAGTTATTACTTTATCCTCATGATTTCATACAGAAAGTGTCCTCCCCATGGGAAACTTGGGAAACCCCTTCTTTTCAGTGTTTCTCCACTGCTGATACCTAGGATGGAAAGGGCTAACTTGTAAAAATGATAGGCACTGGCTCAGCGGCTAGGGCGCCAGCCACATATACCAGAGCTGGTGGGTTTGAACCTGGCCTGGGCCTGCCAAACAACAATGACAACTGCAGCCAAAAAATAGCTGGGCGTTGTGGCGTGCGCCTGTAGTCCCAGCTACTTGGGAGGCTGAGGCAAGAGAATTGCTTAAGCTCAAGAGTTCAAGGTTGCTGTAAGCAGTGATGCCACAGCACTCTACCAAGGGTGACATAGTAAGACTCAAAAAAAAAAAAATGATAGGAACTTTGTTTTTCTTTCTTTCTTTCTTTCTTTTTTTTGTTGTAGAGACAGAGTCTCACTTAATTTTTTTGTTGTTGTTGCAGTTTGGCCGGGGCTGGGTTTGAACCTGCCACCCTCAGTATATGGGGTGGGCACCCTACCCACTGAGCCACAGACGCTGTCCTTTCTTGGGTTTTTTTGAGACAGAATTTCACTCTGTCACCCTGGGTACAGTGCCATGGCATCATAACTCACAGGAACCTCAATCCTCTCAGCCTCCCAAGTAGCTGGGACTACGGGTGCCTGCCATGACACCAGCTAATTTTTCTATTTTTAGTAGAGATGGGGGGGGTCCTCACTTTTGCTCAGGCTGGTCTTCAACTCATGAGTTCTAGCAATCCACCCACCTCAGCCTCCCAGAGTGCTGAGATTAGAAGTATGAGCTACTACGCCCGACCAATGATATTGATTTTGGATTGATTTTGTTTTTTTTCACAACTTTTTAAATAATTGTAAAAGTACCTCTGTTGTTCCCACTGATCCCCAGAAAAACACCTTTAAAAACTATGTTGTAGGGTGGTGCTTGTGGCTCAGCAGTAGGGCGCTGGCCCCATATACTGAGGATGGCGGGCTTGAACCTGGCCCTGGCCAAACTGCAACAAAAAATAGCCAGGTGTTGTGGTGGGTGCCTGTAGTCCCAGCTACTCGGGAGGCTGAGGCAAGAGAATTGGTTGAGCCCAGGAGCTGGAGGTTGCTGTGAGCTGTGACGCCATAGCAATCTACCAAGGGCAATAAAGTAAGACTCTGTCTCTAAAAAAAAAACTATGTTGTGTGCTTTTTAAGAAATTTCCTGTGATATATATTATAATTAGTTACATAAAATTTTATATATAAAGCGTAACCTAGATAATATATAATACTTTTGAATAATATATTTATTTCTTGAGACAGTCTCACTTTGTTGCTCTGGGTAGAGTACTGTGGCATTATAGCTCACAGCAACCTCAAACTCCTGGGTTTGAGAGATTCTCTTGCCTCCGCCTCCCAAGTAACTGGGACTAAAGGTGCCCACCACAATGCGTGGCTATTTTTAGAGACAAGGTCTTGCTGTGGCTCAGGCTGGTCTTGAACCTGTGAGCTCAGGCAATCCACCCTCCTTGGCCTTCCAGAGTGCTAGGATTACATGTGTGAGCCACTGTGCCTGGCCTAGTTTTTCTATTTTGTAGTAGAGACGGGGTCTCGCTCTTGATCAGGCTGGTCTCGAGCTCCTGAGCTCAGGTGATCCACCGGCCTTGGCCTTCTAAAGTATATATGACATTTATATATCCATACTCACATAACTTCTTTTGGGTCCATACTGTATATCCTATTCTTATTTACTGGCATACTGTTATTCTTAAAGTTCTACTGTTAGATTTATTTTAAAAGTTTTAAAGTGGTGGAGGCTGAGGCGTGTAGATTGCCTGAACTCACAGGTTCAAGATCAGCCTGAGCCAGAACGAAACCTCATATCTAAAAATAGTGGGGCGTTGTGGCGGGCCCCTGTAGTCCCAGCTACTCAGGAGGCTGAGGCAAGAGAATTGCTTGAGCCCAAGAGTTTAAGATTGCTGTGAGCTATGATGCCATGGCACGCTACTGAGGGTGACAAAGTGAAACTCTGTCTCAAAAAAAAAAAAAAGTTCTATCATTGTAGTCACTATAAGTGGCTTTCAAACTTTTTTCACCAAGACATGCAATAAGAAATATATTGTATCTCCCAATCTGTATTACACATAAACATATAATTTATACATATATATTTAGGGGGGTTGTTTGTTTTTTTGAGACAGAATCTCACACTGTCACTTGAGCTAGAGTGCAGTGATGTCATCATAGTGCACTACAACCTCAAACTCTTGGGCTCAAGCAACTTTGTGCCTCGCCGTCTCAAGTAGCTGGGACTACAGGCATGTACCACCATGCCTGGCTAATTTTCCTTTTTTTGCAGAGTTGGGGTCTCAGTTTTGCTCAGGCTGGTCTTGAATTCCCAAGTTCAGCAAAGTGATCCTCCCACCTCGGCCTCTCAGAGTGGCTAGAATTACAGGCATGAGCCACTGCACCCAGCCTTACATTTAATTTTATATATAAAATTGAAACTGAAGTTTCATCAAACAACACCTGTCCTTTCTATGTACAAAGTATTCTGATCTTTTTTGTTCTATTCCTTAATTTAAAAAAAAAATGCTGGACTCTGAAAGTGGTGGGTTTGAACCCGGCCCAGGCCAGGTAAACAACAGCTAAACAACTGCAACAAAAAAATAGCTGGACATTGTGACGGGTTACTGTATTGCCAGATACTTGGGAGGCTGAGGCAAGAGAATCTCTTAAGCCCAAGAGTTTGAGGTTGCTGTGAGCTGTGACGCCACAGGACTCTACTGAGGGTGACACAGTGAGTCTCAAAAAAAAAAAAAAAATGCTAGTTACCACTCATGACTTGTTAATGGATCACTGCCTGGAATTGGAAAAGCAACTAGCCTCCGCTACATTCTCTTGCTTTAGTAAGAAAGGAGTCAGGTGTGGGAAGGCAGGTGATGGTTAATGGGCTTGACTGCTGCCTGGAGCTGACACCACCTCCCTCCCCTGTCGTCTGGGCAGATGGAGAAGTACCTGGCAGTGCTGTGCTGGTGTTTGACATCGAGCTGTTGGAGCTGGTGGCTGGCCTACCAGAGGGATACATGTTCATATGGAATGGCGAGGTGTCACCCAACCTCTTTGAAGAAATTGACAAGGATGGCAATGGAGAAGTCCTCCTTGAAGAGGTGACTGGCCTTTGCAGGAGAGTGGGAGGGACAGTGCTTGGAGAGTCTTGTGGGCCAGGGTGCTGCTTCTGAAGGTGAAGCCTCTCAGAGTGATAATAGCTGCACTGGGTTTCTTGTGGCGATGATGACCAGTGCTCTCATATGCCAAGCACTTTTAAACTGAAGCTCACTGTTCTTCTCTGAAGAAACCGAGCCCTGGGAGGTGTAGGGCTGGCTTCCAGGGCATACAGATCTAATTTAGTTCTTGGTTACTGGGGGCCCACTGGGGGCCTGCATGGTGCTAAGTGTCTTCATATGTATTCTCCAGTTCAGCCTTCCGGACAACCACGTAATAATTTCTGGTGTTTAGAAAACTGTTTACACAAAAGGTAAATGACTTGCCCAAGGTCACCAAGCTGAGCCAGGACTCCCTTCCTGGAGTTGGGCAATCAAGGCATCTGTCCTGTCAAACCCTGGGGAATTCCAGCTCCCCACCCATTCCACATCTGCCTATTCAATCATACTGCTCTAGCTTTCCCCCCTCCCCCTCCTATATCATCAGCATTTCCCCAGCTTCCGGATTATTCCCACTGGCATGCTATTAGTCCTATACGGCAAACATGGCATTATTTTCCCTTCTCTCCTTCTGTGTTTCCATATCTTTTTATTTCTTTGTTCCCTTTGTAGCAAAAACTTCGAAGGAATTACCTGTCCTCTCTGTTTCCAATTCCTTTCCCTCCTGCCATTCTCTTTTAAATGCACTCCTGTCCAGCTTTTGTCCCTGTATGCGCTGAACCTGATCTCGCCAAGGTGACCAGTGCCTTCCTTCCTGCTGAATCCAGTGGTCAGTCTGTGGGCCTGTCCTTTCAACACGGCTGACTGCTGAGGATGACTCTGTCCCGGCTTCCAGGGTGCCACCCTTTTGTGGTGTCCGTCTGTCCCGCTGGAAGCTCCTTCTCGGGCTTCTTCAAATTCCCTTCCTGTTGCAGTGCCCTGGGCCAGATGCTGAACTTGGTGGGGTTCCCTGTCTTTAGGTCACGTCCACATTTGCAGCTCCAGCCCTATCTCCACTCTCCACTTCACACCCATACATTCAACTGCCTACTTGACGCCCCCATTTATTGAACCCCTGATATTCGGGACACCTTGCTCCCAACTTGCTTTGCCCAGAGCCTTGCCCACTACAGTCGGTGGCAACACTGTCCTTCCACTGGCTTAGCAAGAGTGCTTGGAGATCTCCGCTCCTCTCACAGGCCATGATAATCTTTCGGCACCTTCCAGCTCTACCTTGAGCGCACACGCAGAACCTTCCTCTTCAAGCCATGCTCACTCCACCTCTTACCCAGTGCCCGCGCTTCTTTCTCAGGTTGCGTCCCTGTGGCAGCAGCCTCTATAAAGTGTCTCCACAGCAACCAGAGTGGCCTTTCTTACAAAGAAGCCCTGTCATGGTCCCTTCTCAGACCTACAGATTTCGCCATCTCAGTGGCCCTCCCCACAGGCTATGCTGCCCCCTATGCCCAGCCAGGACCCCCTGCAGCTCTGTGACCACGCTGGGCTGTGTCCGTAGTGGCCTCTGCACCTGCCAGCAGCGGCATCTTCTCTGCTCGGGAGACATGTGCCCCAGATAACTGCTCACTTATTCCCTCACGTTCCTCAAGGCTTTGCACGTCTCCCTTTCCCCCTGAGGTTTTATCCTCACCACTGAATTTAATACTTCAACCTGTTCTTCCTCACTCAGTTCTATTTTTTCTGGAGCATTTCAATTTGTAAATTAATATGTAATTTACTTACTATGTTAATGTCTAATTGGCAGTCTTTACCTTAGAATACAGGCATTACAAACCATGGTAGGATTTTTTTTTTTTTTGTATATTGATGTATTTCAAGAGTCTAGAACTGTTCGTGCGCGGATTAGACATGCCGTACATTTTTATTGCACGAATGAATGCACGTGGGCAACAGTGTTCTCAGAGGGTACAGCGTTGTGGGGCGTAAGAGATAGCTCTGATGGCTGCTGTGTACTGGCCATGTGGATCCCCAGGGCTCTTAGAGTCATTCGGTCCAGAGATTTTTTTCACTTGCATCTGGAGGGGGGAAAACCCAGGTTGTAAGTTGTAGTTGCCAGGATCTTGGCTGTTTAGGAACCTCAGACCCAGATTCCAGCCCTGTCGCCCTCGGATTGCTCAGTTTCTGGGCTGGCCCTGATGTTCTCAGCTGCTGTATCTCACGGTCTCTCTCACCCCTTTTGTTCCCAGTTCTCAGAGTACATTCATGCCCAGGTGGAATCCGGCAAAGGGAAACTTGCTCCTGGTTTTGATGCTGAAATGATTGTGAAGAATATGTTCACCAACCAGGACCGGAATGGAGATGGGAAGGTCACCGCTGAGGAATTTAAACTCAAAGATCAGGAAGCCAAACATGATGAACTCTAAACCTGGCATGAGCCAATTGGTGCCAGGGAGTGTGTGACCCCAAGCCACCTGTCGTGGCAGAACAGGCAGTGAGGGTGCGAGGGTCTTTCAGAAGGTGCGTCATTAGCAAGTAGGAGGTGGGTCACAAAGTGCCTGGTGCATACATCGGGGTGGGTGGATGGACATGGTGAGCATCTTAGCCTGACTGCCAGGGATAGTAAACAAAATTGGTGTAGAGTGCTTTGTTAGCACAAGATGTGTCAAGATGGAAAAGGTTGCACTGCCAACATTATTTGTGAGCGTTCTGGGAAATTCTGTTATTAAAGGACTATAGTATCACACAGAAGTTACAACCATCTTGGAGGGAATAGAAGAAAAAGTGTCCAGAATGTCTACACAAAGAGCGTTAATTTTTTTTTTCAACTTGTTGGTGTTTTTAAAATGTGCTCAGAAGGGCAGAAGAGGCAGAGGGTGTGCACCAGCAGGATCCCCGAGCACGACAGTGTCCTAGGCAGGCTCTGGTGACAGCCCTACCTCCTCTTCACACACACGCTGTGCTCTTCCAGTTCATCACACCCCGTCCTGCTGCGTCCTCCCATTGGCAATGTGTAACGTGGAGGTTAAAAAGAGCCTCCCGGACAGAATAAACAGTGAGCCAAACAAAAGGTGTCTCGGACCATGGATTCCGCCTCTGCTTACCCCTCCTCATCCCCATCTCTCTTTCTTTTCCACTCTAGACTGTGTTGGTTAGATAGATAGGGCTGGGGACTAGGCCTCACTGTTCAGTCAACAGAGCATTTCACTTGGTTGAGATGGAAGTGTCATCCCAATAGATGGGGTTTGGAGACAGGGTGACATTTCTCTGCTGCTCATTTGCGTCCTGGAGAGGGTGGGCCCTGAAGGCCGAAGGCTGAAGGCTGGGGCCGGCTGCTGCTGTAGGACAGCAAGGACAGTCTACCTGCCTGCCTGTGCCCGCCTCAAGCAGTGACCACATGACTACCTTTTGTCCTCTGTTCCTCAGTGGTGGTGGCACTTACCCCAAAGTCATCAAGGATTTTCCTTTTGAAACGGCTTTGTTTTGCTAATTTAAACTATTTTGTACTGATGTAGCTCTGAGATAGTTCATGAACTTGCTGTGCACTTGTGGAATTAATGTTGGGAACCTGACCTTTTCTGATATAAAATGTCGAATTATATTATCTGGTTTGTGGCATTTATTTGAAGGCTGAGAGGACCCCATGGGAATGCACCATGCAGTCAGAGCCCCCTTGATAAAAATGGTGGGACGCCGTTGTGTTTATTGAAAGGACAGTGCTGCAGGGGATATGCGGGACCGCTCAGGGGCCTGGCCTGAAACAGACACCCCCTCCTCCTGGCACTTCTGAAGAGAAACTAAGGAAAGGACTGTTTGCAGAGGTGTAGGCGGGGTTCAGGGGACCAGGAAAGGTTTTGAGATGCCCACGACAACACGAGAGACCATTTCCACTCCTGAGCCTGAGGGGTCAGGACAAGGTAGCAGAAGCAGTGCAGGAAGGGATGCCGGGCAGGTGTCAGAGAGGGACACAGCCACCCCAGGACTGGCTTGCCCTGCAGCAGAGGAGTAAGGGACAAAATGCCCTGTCTTCTCTGTCTCCCAGCTCTTGCCACCTGCTCCCATTAGCTGAACCCCATCTGAATCTCAGGGACTGGAGTTCTCAGAGGTGAGTCAGCCTCTTGGGGTATAGAGAAAAGTGGAGAATGAATCCAAGGTAGGGGGTGGGGTGGAATCAAATGGAAAATAGCTGGCAGGTATAAGAAAAAAATATATATCTATATAATTATTTTAAAAAAGCCAATGGTGCCTCGGTGCCTATAGCTTAACCGGCTAAGGCGCCAGCCACATACACCTAAGGTGGTGGGATCGAATCCCCAGCCCGGACCCGCCAAACAACAATGAC